TAATAGTCAACGAAACAACAATTTAGAATTTGTTTTCGTTTACATATCTAGTACATACATGGACGTAAAAGGATCTTATTTTCCCAGTGGCAGGGTTTAGCCATGTAATGACTATGCATGGTTTTTGTTAATAATATTGGTGTGTTGTGCATGAAAGTACGGTGAACGAGCAGACAATTAGTTACACATATATTGAACGTACTGTACACGAGTAATCATAAACAAGAAATTAAAACAAATTAAGTCTTAACTAATTAGTAGTAAGACAAATTAGCTAGATCCAAATTCTAATGTATGTGTTGGGTAGAGAGGAATAGTCAGCTCTTGTTGGGTGGATATTTGGGTCGGTTTCGAAATCAGCCATCAAATTTTGTCTGCTTAAGAAAACAACTCACGCGGTAATTGAGATAAGCACACGATTCAGCCTTCATGAAAGTATATTCTACCTCGCGTTTTCTGAGGAGGTTTCATGCACTTCACTCGTAAATTACAACGTGAGTTGGCAGTTCGCATATATGCTTTGAAAACTGTTTATTAATACTTAAAAAGATTTTATTTTTATTTTTATTTTTTTTACTCGGATTGCATGAAATCGAAGGAGGGGATCGATTAATCTGCTATCAATGTGATGTGTAATGTGTAGTGTGGTATCTTTTTATTAAAAAAACTGTTTTTGTCTTTTGTATTAACGTTGAGTGCTTCTTCCATGCATGGATGTGCTACATTACACTCAAAATTTACCATATGAATGTAGTTTAGTTGGGGATACCTTCACTGCAAACATTTGATCAAATGTTGATTCACTCAAAATTTGGTACATACTTCACTCACAACTATGTAACACAAACACGTGAATATATATATATATATATACACACACACATATATATTGCGGTTATAAGTACTAATCATACTTTACATAATAAGATCATGAAATTCTACTACCATTATATTACTATTAATCATTATTTTATTCTTTATTTTCGACTATCATATTAAATAAATTAAAACAAAATAATAGACAATGTTAAATAGCAGTAGGTATAAGAAAAAATATGTGCATTCATCATTCTCCTTGTTTTTATCGTTTTACTTTGTTGAGAAAATTTCATCATTTTATGTTTGACGGTTTGAAAGTAATATATATATAATAGAACACCTAAGGAGTAACATTGAACAAATAGCCTCGAGAACAAAACGTATATTAAATTATAGATTGCCTTCACAATCATTATGATGGTTCTTAGTTTCTACAAGTTTTAGTCAATTGTTGCATGTTTCATCATTTCATACATAGAATGGTAGCTAGGCTGCTAAGAAAATAGCACCGAGTCAACACTATCAAATTTCAAATAGAAACTCAAACTTCATTCAGAACCAAATGCACGATTTCTCTTGCCACCGAATATCTATTATATATATATATATATATATATATGCGTGTGTGTGTGTTTTTATATCAAAGAGAATTACTTACCATCTCTTTTTTTTTCTTAATTTCTTATGATCTTGGGAATTGGTGTTCGATATAACTAATCACAATTAATCTTTAGCGCATTTGTGAATAACATGCACACAGCTGCATAATTGCTAGGTAATTAGTAGCTAGCTTTGCTGGACTCTTCCCAGGTGTCGAGAATTATCTTTTCAATATTGCTTGTTTTGTTGCATGAATAGCATGTGGCTCGTATTCGCATTTTGGGTTCATAATTAAGTGACCAAAATGCTCAGATCAGACTCATCAGAGAGAGAACAAGTTCAGTTTTTAAACTTATTAGTCGTAAACGCAGGATATGTCTGCCCTTGGTTACAGAAACCAGAATCAACTCAACCCTTGGGTTGAACTAGACCCCTTAGGCTAATCCATTGTTTAACCCTTAAAACAGCTGCTAGATTTAAATTCCTTCCAGAATACTCTGACGGTGAACAGTATTTTTATAAGACCCTAAAAATTAAGGACAATGATTGTTTGTCCTTTCACTTCCGATGTCCTTCCGTATCCTCCTGTTTTGTGTAATCACGGTTAAGTTACGTTAATATTTTATATTTTTTTTTTTATAGAGATAATAAGAAAAAAATGAATAGTAATATAAAATGTTAACGTGATTTAACCGTGATCATACAAACAAAAGGGCACGGGAGGGCACCGGAAGTGGGAGGGCAGACAATCCTTGTCCAAAAATTAATGACAAAATGTAGTATAAATGACAGAGAAATGCTAGTGAGACAGATTTTCTGTTATCACATATTTTTTACATAATATTTTATAATATTAACACGAAAATTAACGTTAAACTGTGAAGTGTATGTAAAACTATGAAATCTCCTTATCATTTCCCTCACTTATAATGTACCCGTGCAAGTATGAACTACTCCGTCGTACTACGTACCCATCTGCAAATTATAAATGAGCTATCTAATCTAGTAGAATGATCATACCTACTACCTACACAATTAAATAAAATGAGAAATAATTAAAATGGTTTGAAAATTTTGAATTTCAACTATAAAGAAAAAATAAAAAGTAAAGTGAATAATACCATGATTTTTTAATGTAAAAATATAGTTTTTCATTAAAATGATCAGTAACGAGAGTTTTTCGTTAAAGTTCTTTTAAATAAAAATATTATGTTATCGTTTCAAGGACAAGAAATGATACTTATGTCAAATTTAATATCTTTAATTAAGTGGCTTGATCTTAGTCTGAATTACAATTTAAATTTATAGTTTCGCAGCATAAACATTTGTACGATAAAATCACATCCCTCATTAAGCAAATATTATTAAACCCTTTATAAATGCTTGTATTGACAAAGATATAAAACGATGACGGATTAGTGAACCTTTGCGGCCGTGTGTATGCAAATTGTGGCACCAATCCAATATTAGACATGGACAAGGATACAATATCTGCGAAGTCAAACACAAACACCCGACACCAGGACCACCAACTGGATGGGGCTCTATGTCGACACCCTCAAATTATGGTTTTTATTCAGATCCCCAGCTTACCAACCAAGAAAATTGCTAATACAAACAATAGTGATAATAGTAACAACAATGATAATAAACACTTTGTCGACTTGGTCAATCGATGACTCCCAAAGACCGTTGTTTTGATAGGAGTATCGTAGTAATAAGGGCTGTATATTCATCCTTACATGCGTAAAATGCCCCCGTATGTTTACTATGTCAGTTAATGCATTGGTGGTATGAGCTAAAACAGCCACACAAATATATGAGAATTTACAGCCTCCATACATATTCATGAAATACTAGAAAAAAAAACTTACAAATACAATGCCAAAATTGGTCTTTAGGTAACACCACTATTTTAATATATAATGTTAATTACAATTAAGAAAATACAGTGTTCTAGGGGCTAGACGGTTGACCACATTTACCATTAGTTCTTAGGTCTTTAAAAAATATAAAAAGGTGCCTAGACCAGTCTGGTTGCCCGCCTAGGTGGACATAAGAAGGTTAGGCGGGCCTAGGTGAGCTGGGTGGTTTGTGAAATTTTTAGCTTATTTTTTTATTTAAAAAAATAGCTTAGGGTCATATGATTCTCACTTAGACCGAAAATAAATAACTTTCAATTTGCATTTTATGAATTTTCAATTTGCATTTTATGAATTTTCAATTTGCATTTTATGAATTTTCAATTTGCATTTTATATTTTCAATAAATTGTAAAAGATTTGTTAGATACTTGGATGAAAACTTATTATATGCTTGTTCTCCGTATAAACTCTATTTCTATTAAAAAAAATGGTACAATGCGATTTTCTCATTATTACCTTTACAATCATTCAGTGAAGACTTTCTTTTCTCATGTGATTTATTTTGACTGATAGTTATCGCTTAATTTAAAATTTATCTTGTATGACAAAATCTTAATAGTGGTAGCTACCAATCAACCTATTGCCACTAGAGTTTTATTTTGAGTGATTTTCTTTAGGCCATTTTATTTAGATTTGATCATCTATCTAATATAGATGAGTTTCACATGTTAACTTTTATTAAAGAGATAATCAACAAGATCCGTAAATATTGTACACTGAATCCATAAGCATAGGTGAGGAGAGAAAGAAAACCTACCATCATACTAAATCTCAAAAATAAAAGAAAGAGATTAATCAAGTTGTTTATCAGAAAACTGCATAGGATGATTAAAATCTAATGTCGACGAATAATTTTTAGAAATAAGGGGCACAAGGAAAAACAAACGACGTCCACTAACTCATTCGAATATGTGATCTCACCCAAATTTGGAGGCATTGTTGCATGGGACCCAATTGAGCCATTTTTCTCACACACAGAGAAAGTGATAGAGAAAGAGAGTATGATCATGGCCAATTAAAATTACTGAGCTCAAGCATACAAGGAACCTGACACGGTCTATGATGCTAAGCCCACCCTTTGCGGTTCAGACAGAAAGTGTGGGTCAAAGTTTTCCGAGCGTATCAATTTTATATTGGTTGTCTGATTGCAGATATTTCGGTGAAAAAGACTTGAAATCCCTGCTTTAGACGAAACAGACTTGTCTTCTTACTTCAGCTGCTGTTTCATCCAAGTCACACGGTTAAACACGTTAAAAAAGAGATTCGAACTTGAATACAAAATCAAAGAGTATATAATTCGTTTGATTATGTCAAGCCTTCTTAGCCATCTCTAAACACATGTATTTTGCAAGTAAATAAGAATTTCCTCTTCCCTATAAGGAGTCAAGTATTATTACTTATAGACATAAAGAATAGCCAGAAGTAGTTACTATACCTATTGACATAGACAGAGAGAGAGAGAGAGAAAGAGAGAGAGATTCCATATTAATCTTAGGTTTTTGAGGGTCCTAAAATAAAATAAATAAATAAACCTAATAGATAGTGAAATGTATTAAAATAATGGAACTAGCCTTTTAAGCTTGTTCCTATATAAATGTTCCACTTGTTGCATCTTCTTGTTATCAGGGCACTTACCTAATTAGCAACATCAACATTCCCAAGAGAAATACACAGCGGGAGAGGAGAGGGAGAGGGAGAGGGAGATGGAGTTGAATGAACATAGTTTCTTACAGGAGTTATTAGCTCTAAGAAGAGACAGTAGTAGTAGCAGTACATGGGAAACCAATATTCCAACAGAAATGAATGATTTGTTGTCTAGTAGTGGTAGCTGGGGAAATTTTGATTACTTTGATCAACAAAACCCTTCATCTTCTTTCTTCCCAAATTCTTCTTCCACCCATGAATTCTCACCTCCATTTGAACCCAACTTTAACAACTTCAACGCCACCTTTAATCAAGAAGTCTACTATCCCTTCGGCTTTGGCGTTACTGATGAAGCACTACTCTCAGCTCAGCAGCAAGTCACTGACTCATCCTACAGCACCCTTGATACGCCGCCGTTTCCGGTCCAGGAAGACAATCCATGGTCCATACTTGAAGAAGAAGAGTTGGGTTTGCTTGGTGATGAAATACACTACTTGGAGACTCAAGCTGAAGCTGCAGCAGCCTGTAAAGTGGAACCAACTCAGTCCCCTGACCAAGTCCCCTCTTTCAACGTGGGAATCTGTGTGGAGAGAAATACCAGAGCTACTAATAAGAAGTTGCAGGGGCAGCCATCAAAGAATCTAATGGCTGAGAGAAGAAGAAGAAAGCGATTGAACGACCGGCTTTCGATGCTAAGATCAATTGTGCCCAAGATAAGTAAGGTAATTAAGTTTAAACTCCTTTTTTTTTTCAGAATGCATGTAGATATGATTAATGTTGAATACAGAAGCTAATTTTCTTTTTTAATTTATTACTGTGGTTTTGTAGATGGATAGAACATCTATACTTGGAGACACTATAGATTACATGAAGGAGCTCCTAGAGAGAATCAACAATTTGCAACAAGAAATTGAAACAGATTCAGATCAGTTAAATGTGATGAGCCTTTTCAAGGATATCAAACCAAATGAAATGCTAGTCAGGAACTCACCTAAGGTATGTACCCTGCAAATTTAAATCTTAAAATGCAGACCAGGGCGTAATCAAGTTGGCTAGAGCAGTTTGTGTCTGTGTGCTCTCCCCTCTGCGCCCAAGTTCAAATGTCCTGTACCGCAGTTTAGATTACTTTAGAATATCGCTCGAATATGAAAAAGTAAAGCTAAGAATTGACATTGGTGTTGGATTGATTTGCAGTTTGATGTGCAAAGGAGGAATGTGGACACCAAGATTGACATATGCTGTGCAGGAAAGCCAGGGCTGTTGTTATCAACAGTGTCTACCTTGGAAGCCTTAGGCCTTGAGATTCAGCAGTGTGTGATTAGCTGCTTCAATGACTTTGCAGTGCAAGCTTCTTGCTCAGAGGTATGTGAATTGGCTTTCCAGTAATATAAATAGAATCTCTTTGTGACTTGTTTAGTTGGAGAAGTATTAAGTTAATGTTTTTATCTGGTGATTCGTTGATGTCATTAAACAGGATTCTGATCAGAGAACACTGGTAACTTCTGAGGACATAAAGCAAGAACTATTTAGAAATGCAGGATATGGAGGAAGATGCTTGTAATTGCAAGAATAAAGTGGGAAGAGGAAAAGTAACAACTTTTGCGGTAAAGCTTTAGAGGAGATGGCTTTTTGTTGTAATCTCTGGAATTTCAGTGACGGTTTGCTATTGAGAGGTTACATTATAATTCACTTTTTTTTATTATAATTCACTTTTTTTTTATATATTATTAAATAATTGGTGTCTTTTCATGGAGTAGCATTTGCTTCAGTAGTAGGAGATGTTAATTCATGTACAATGTACTTTGTTCTCCAAGAGTGAAAGAGTGTCTTTAACATTTTAAGTGCCAAGAAAAGGCTAAAATTAGGGTTTAGAAGCTATGTGGGAGTGAATTGACACAAATTAACCAACTTTGTATTGGTGATGCTGGTTGTTGATTGCAAATAAAATTAGTTGGAGAAGAGGATGTAATGATGATGTAAGAAAGCTTTTCTATGGATGTAGTTGTAGATTGTTGCCTACAGATTCCTATGTGGATATATTATTTTGCATACGAGATTAAATTTTTTGCACTCAAATTTTTTGTGATTTATCTTATTTGTTTGACACTTGGTCATTCATTTAAATTCCAATTAACAATTTTAACTTTTCTACTTATCTTTTTGATAAAAAAATTAAAAACTAAAGATAAATTAAGTTAAAATGACATATAGTGCTCAAATAGATAAGACACAGAGAGGTCACAAAGAATTTTAAGTGCAAAAGATTTGAACGCTTTGCATACAAAGAGCAGATGTAGACAGAGTATGCTTGTTGTGTATAATTTCATTTGCTTTTGGCCTTTTCTTTTTGTTTCATTGGGGTGGAATAGAGTCATGAAACGAAGGTACCATCTTATGCAAAAAGGAAGTAGCTATTCACACATCACATATTTTTGTAAATTTTTTGTTATTTATATTTTTTAATTTATTCAATCCAACTGCCGAAAGCAAGAGGTACATAAAAAGTAAAAAAAATGTATGTAAATAACACTACTCGTGTTGAAATCATTATCTTTGAAATGTGCGACAAAGAAATTTAGCTTTTTACCGTTGGGACCAACCTTCTTAGCCCAAAATAATAAGCCCAAATTACTATTCCTTGACTTTGTAATGGGTCTGGGCCCAGTAGGGGTTTCCATCTCCTTTTCTTTCTTTATTTTTAGTCAAACGGTTAATTTTGTTAGATTAGTCAACGACGGAGTTTGAATTTACGCTGTCATGCAAGGGCTTGACTCATTTCCATCACTGTGGTAAAGGATCACTTACTTCCATTTCCTACTTAAATGTTCTAAAAGCTATATAGCTGCTATGTTAATAATTTTGTTGCCTCCTTTAGTCTAGCTGTTTTTTTTTTATCCTTTAGTCTAGTTGTTGAAGAATGATATTTTTCTTTTGAATATTTTATTTTGGATAGTACTAGGAGGACAAATTTTTAAATCAAATTTGCAAACTAAATGACGTGCCACCAATAGAAAATAAGCACACTTAGCAACACTTAAGTAATAATTAAATCATCCACTGCCGCATCATTTGGTTCATATAATGTGGTTTAAGAATTTGATATCCCTAGTATTAAACTCTGTTGCACGTACACCCACGGAAAAGTGAGCATAGCATGGTTCAACAAAAGCTGAAACATTTTACTCTGATCCTAAGTTCCACAAAGTGTTTCAAAATTTCTGTTATAACTTCATAGTTAATAATCGTCGTCTCCCTTGCTATAAGATGACACCCTTTTATACGACATTTCCATTTTCATGAGGAGGTCCTTATGGGGAAACAAGATACATCGATACGTCGACAAGGTTTCATGAAATTGAGTAATTGGTTATGAATGTTTGTTGTGTTTTTGCCTATTTACATTAATACTATAAAAGTTGAGTAAAACACAATTTAATTAGGGGATCTATATATTGTTAAAGATGTGTATATTAATCCTGCCTAACATTTTAAGGAAAATATATACCAACTTCTTTTTTTTTTTTTTTCTTTGTATGAGTAGATAGCACACAATGCAAAGTACTAGAGCAATGGCAATGCAACTGCCAAGTTCTCAATTGATTTCATGGAAATCATGATTTGGTCTTAATTGCAAATACGGATTCAATACAATCACAATTGGAAACGACCTCAACTTATGGCTATAAGTATTTGAACCTCTTCCAGGTATTTAATAGAAATATATTTATGACGCATCCAAGAATCGTCACATGGTTGAAGCTATTCCAAGTATTAATAAATATGTTTTATTAAAGGAAACTGTTATCAGCATTCCAAAAATTTCATTCTATACTCGTCATAAATGTATTTTTCTTTCTAATAGTTAGAGAAAGTTTGGAGTGCACAATAAGGTTTTGGAGTGCCAATAACAATTTCCTTATTAAATTGAAAAAAAATGATAATTTTATCTATTATCCTTGCTGATTATTGTAATTTTGAATTTCATTGCATGTAAAAACCGACAATTTAATTGGGTGGCTATTTATTTATTTATTTTTGCAAACTTACGAAGCAGGATTGGGCATTGAAAAATAACTTCAATATCTGCAAAATTTGCCGGTAATTCCATTACGTAATTATGTGAACATTATTCTGAAGTATTTTTTCTCAACACTTCAATAATATATTATGTCGGTTAGATAGTTAATTTACACCAATACTTTTGTTTTTGTTTGATTTGTGAGATTTTAAGGATGTCGTTGGATCATGATAATATTATAGATATAGAGGTTGAGTCACCTCCATGATGTTATAGATAATGGATGGTTATGAAACGCCAAATATCATAAATTTGATGTATTGATTGGTCTAAATAGTAGTTCGTCCACGACACACTCATGGTAATACGTGGAAATACAATGCAGAAACATAAAGAAATAGCCGAACATTGAGAAAGTTGCTTTAGATGCATATTTATCACTTGATGTTGCTGAAGCGAATATATGCTTAAATTAGCCAATATAGACAATTCATACTAGAATAGTGTGCATATGCAGATATCCTGTCGAAGAGAATATTAGAGTTATATTTGTATATGTAAGAGCAGTTTAACCGTGGGAAAGGCCTTCCCGGGCTATCCACTGTTTAATCCACCTAGTGAACAATAACTATCCTTAATGAACAGTAATTACATTTTGCATCTCCACCCCTACACTTGACTAGCCCTGGCAACAGTTAAATAAAATAATAATATTTTTTGCAATTATTTGGAATTTCCCGTGCACCTCTCCACTCTCTCACGTCACTCCCTCTCTTTCCACTCATCTTTCTCACTTCTCTCTATTTTTCTCTGAAGTTCCTCTCTCTCTCTCTCTCTCTCTCTCACTTCTCTCCATTCTTAAAACTGACTCCCTTCCTTTTCTCTCTTCCATCTCCGTTTCTCACTTTCACACTGAAACCAACCAAACAACCCTTACACACACACACACACACACACACAATCTCTGCAAATTCACAAATTCTAATTTCAAAACTAATTTGAAAAAATGAAGTGCAAATCAATCCGAGCGATGCAAAACCTCCAAGCAGCGCCGTACCTGGAGGCGAGGAAGAAGTTCCGGTTAGTGCTCCCTCGCCGGAAGCAACCTCCGATCTCTTCTGTTCTTTACTTGCCTCTGAAGCACAATGCTCGCAACGAGACCTCCGGTTTCTCTGTGAACGCCGAGGCAAAACAGAAGAAAAAACGTGGTTGACGTCAGGGCGACATCAGCCGAGCATCAAACCCACTCTGGGCTCTCAGGCTAGCAACCCTCCACCGACCTCTCGCTCGGGCCTACTCGTGCTCCCTTGCCAGCACACGCTGGACTAGATTACTCGAGCTCTATAGCCTGGTTCACTCACCTGTCCCTCGGGCTCCAGCACATGTTGGAGCTGCTCTAAGAACAGCTCCAGCGGAAGCAACTGCTCGAGGGACAGGCTGCGGAACAGGGCCTGATTGCCAGAGGGAGGAAGTCCAGCGTTGGCTGGCGAGCGAGCCCGGGCAGGCCCGAGCTCTAGGCCGGTGGATTCGTGCCAGCCCGAGCGCCCGAAGGCTGTCTGACATGGGCTGACGTCATACGCCTACCGAGTGAATCAGAGGGCCACCAGACGGCTATACGACCTCCTGAACATCGTCGTCGTCGTCCTCTTCGCCCTCATCCGCGTCGTCGTCCTCGTCGGCGTCCTCTTCTTCTTCGTCTATGTTGTCGTCGGATTTGGACTCGGACTCGGACTGCGACTCGTACAGCTCCAATTACTCGGTGGTCAAAGGCTTAACTTCTTTTTCCTCCACAACTTCCTCCATAACCTTCATCCTCTCAAAGCTCACACAAATTTGCAGAGAAAATCTCCTCTTTGTATTCTTGAGAAAACGAATTGGGATTGGATTTGGGAAAGTGAATGAGATAGAGGGAGAGAGGGACGAGAAAGGGGCTGCCAATTGGGATTGGATTACAAATAAAATTATTTTATAAATAAATAAAATATTAATATTTTATTGATAATTACCATGACTATTCAGGTGCAACGGTGGAGATACAAAAGGCAATTACTGTTTATTAATGGTAGTTACTGTTCATTAGGTGAATGAAATAGTGAATAGCCTGGGGGGAGGGCTCCCACGCTGGAAGTGCTCTAAAGCAACCACAATAGGCTTTGAATATATAAATTTATCAAAATCCAATTTTTGTACGTAGCTCATCAGGAAGTGATTTTTTATCATAGTGGTAAAAAGGTGTTCAGCCCTTGTATAACGGCATAGGTTCAAACCCCGTTGTAACTAATCTAACATATAATCTAACAAAATCTATCATTTGACAAAAAAAAAATTGTAGCTTATCACATTTATGAATAACCAAGGGTCACATCACAGTGAAAATAATATTGTGATTTGTGACCCTTGACATATTTTGCCTTTGAATTAGTATTGATCAAGTAAACGATAATAACTCCCAAATGAGTTATACTCATAATTTGGGTATGTTCCATTAGTAACGTTTTCAAGACGCTAGTTGGACAGCGGTCATGAGTCTAGCGTCTAGGAGGGGGCTTAGGCAGTTTTCTAATTTTAATTGTTTACTCGTTCCAACCTCCTCCCTTAAGTATTCGATTCTTTGGAAATCAAGAATCACATTCTAAATTTTGAGTGGGACTCGCATCTTTTCATTCTCCATGGTAAGTAAACGTAAGGTTCATCCATAATAGGAATTACTCGCATTCTTTACATTCCTATTATCCTTATTTAAACATGCCCCTAAAAAGACTTGATTTGAAATGACAGTTTTCTTTGAGGCTGCTCTTTGAGAGAGTAATACTTGAGAGATTGGTTTTTTATTCAACTTGTTTGAGCTTTTCCCTTTGCCTTTGGTGGCTCCACAAGATATTCATAAATACTCGTTCAAAATAATTGAATATTGTGGCTAATGACTAAAAGCTCTCATATCCGCACGAAATTTTATCTCGCACTTATAATTTTGCCCGCAGTTATCCTCAAGGTTTTCGAGCAACTAGTCAATATAGACATAACATCTCCTATTGTAGAACTCATATGAAATGCAAGTTATGGTCCAAACGGGGTGAGCTTCATTTGAAAAGCATAGTTGGGTTGTGCATATGGATCTGTATTGACAACATATTTCCACCATAATGACAAGCATAATGACTATACAATATTATATGTTATGTGTCCGAAATACATAATCAGTATACTAGTAATACGTGTCATACGTAATCCACACAAACAATCCACGTGCGCATAAAAGAATTTTTGGTCAATAGAGACACCAACTTGCATTTGGACCTTGTGTTATGTATGTGATATTACAGTTTTTTAAAGTGAAAAGAAAAAACAAGATAGCTAGTTATTTACCCCAAATCTGTCTTAAATTCAGAGATAGAACTAGGGATTTTAAGTACCAGATGGAGAATTCTTGTCCCTCTGATTACTAGATCAATTTTGAACAATCAGAATGGAGAAGAATTAGATGTCTGCAAATCAGCAAGGTCATTTTCCGAGAGGAGATCCTCTCCGGATCTCTTCCATTAAAGCCACCAGATCAATGATCCGGACCTTTAAAATTTCATCCAACAGCTCACCTGTTTTGACTCCTTAAAAGCTATAATAATTTTTAGTCGTTGAATGAAACTTCAAAGACCTAGATCACTCTTCTCATTTTCCAAAGGTTGGTTTGCATAGTATGAAATGTACCACAAAAGAATTGGAAAGTACAAAGCTGCATTTGTACGAAGCAATTTCGAATAATCAAACTGTACCACATTTATATTGTAGTACATTTAAATCCACTAGCGTAATTTGCTTTCTTTTATATGTATGGTTAAACAAGAAGATTTGTACTAGAAAGACACCTTTGTTCATGTAGTACAATGGAGTGAAAGTAGTACGCAACTAAGTTCTAAGTTGTGCGATATATTAGCAGTGTAAGGCAGGGAAGTTGTACAGAAATAAGTCTAGAGCCATGACGAAGAGAACAAGTGTTGCAGTATATGCCAAAGCGGTAGAGGGGTTCTGTAGGAGTGACCTGAGATCACATATGGCGCTATGTGTTGCGCTTGATGTGTTCTCAGGTCGCCCCTGCGGCACCTTCTCTGCCACATGAATGCACTACTGTTGATCTGCTGAATGTCCAGTCATGATGGACCCGAGGTGCTACATCAAAAGGTGAGAAAGTTCTATCATGTTTCGGTGTATTGAAAAATGTAAGAAACATTGCTAACTTTACTCTCGACTACATGCATCGATTGTTCTACCACTACTGTAACACAAATTTGAAGCTCATACTGTAAGTACGTGTTGGTGCTCACAAAAGAAAGTCAAATCTATTCCTACCTGGATAAATCAGTGACTGAATCAATATCCTTACAGCTGACTTGATGGCTAGTAGCTCTCCTTCCCCAACTTTCCGAGGATAAAACATTAGTTATCTTGGTAGACTGATGATGTTGCTTATCCAGATTGACTATTCATACTCTGAGCATTATTTGACTGTCATTTGATCTTTATACTGCCATGTTACTATTAAAGTTCATGCCAGAGAATACAGTATGAATTGACTAGCAATCTGTCGTAATCCAGTCAAGCGTATTGTTCAACCATACAACTGAGAAATTTGAGAGTGAAACTACAGTAATAACTCTATTACCCTAATTATTGCACACAGTTAGAGTTTGCTTATTTATAATTACATCTTAATACGTTACTACTCTTCGGGGTGTTATTACTGTAGAGGGTCACCTGAGTTATACAAATGCATAGAGTCACCCTATGAGTTTAATTGGATATGTTATTACTATTGCAGCAGTTTGCTATTATCCCCTATGGAATCAATAGTCAAGTATACAGTCTACAATTTGTCAACAGTATAACTCGTCATATAGCTCTTTCCCACTCTCCCATGTAAATGGGTCTCGAGTTCTTTTATTGTAATGCGTTGATTGAAATATTGACAGTTAAGTCTGAAAAATTGGCTCCAAAAAAAAAAAAAAAAAAAAAAAAAAAACCAATCATTGCAAAAAGGTTTGAAAAAATCAAATGGTAATTTTTTTTAAAGATCAGAAAAACACAGAAATGAAATTTGATATTTGAATTGAATGGCCTATCTGATGTTTATTAAATTCAAATATCAGAATGAGGGCTTTGTTGCAATTTTTGAACATAAAAGTTAAAAAATACAATTTCGAAGGTTCTACTCTGTAAAATGTTAGTACTTCACTCCATTTTTACTAGGTGTACCCGCGTGTGCACCCTCAATTTTCAAATTGACCTGCTTTTACAGAAGTGCTCAAAATTCAGGGGTTACTCAATTTCATGTTTCAAATTGTATTTGAATTGCAGTCCATCACTCCATTGGAGTGCTTGAGTGCTCCAGTGTTTGAATTTTCTTTCAAGCAGTATCTGAATTGCTAGAGTGCTTCAATGTTCAAATTTGAAATTGTTTTCAAATTGTTGTCAGTTTTAGTTTTCATTTTGTTTGTTATATCTTTCACATTTCTTTCATTTTTTCTCATTTATCTCATATATTTTTCTTTTATTTATAGGGCAAAAAAAAAAAAAAAAAAGTAATAGTTAAAAAATTAAGGCAAATGTAAATGACGCTTTACCGCAATAGAGAACACTTATGCGTATGTATTCCTAGTACAAGTTCGATCTCTACTAATTTTTTTTTCCTTATATAATTAATAATTTAACCTACTAATCACTATTGTTTGTCAAAAAAAAAAAAAAATGTTATCAAGCTCTTTTCTTCGAAGCGGTTACCCAGGCCTTGATAGAGTAAAAACTGGTTTGGTATTGTTGTGCTTTGAAAAAAAAACTGATTCTGATGTGTTGTAAGAATAAACAGCTATGAAATAAAGCAATAGAGTGTTTGGTAAACATTTTTGTAACAGTGCTTTTGAAAAAGAAAAAAAAAACAGTATTATAGTGTTTGATAAACTTTCATATAAAACAAATGTGAAAAAAAAACTAGTTTTTCAAAACTGAGTTTTGCAGTTTTGTGTTTTTAACTTTTTTTCACCAAAAACTATGAAAAAAAAACTAAAACTGAATGTTTACCAAACATAAAAAAGCGTTTATAACTACTTTTTCCAAAATCAACTAAGCATTAAACTAGGGCTAAGCACAGTGGGTTATTTGCTCATCTCTAGGACTGCAAGTCTCAAGCCAACCACCAACCACCAACCTCCAAGGGGTTCCAAACTCTGCAAGGCCTCGCTTTGTGTCATAAGTGGAAGTCGATGCAGCTCAATTTATGGAAGTTGAGAGGGACAAGGACCTAATATTTTCAAGACACACCCATCATCCGTGTTATATAATATAAGGATGAGCATTATCTCTAGAATCTCTTTACGGGAATTTTAAGAATTTTCATATTATGACTGTTCATTATATATCATATAGTCAGTTTTTTGTTAAATACTATTGTGTTTAATTTTAATTCAAAAAATTCATGATCACATGATGTACGATAAACGATTAGAATGTGAGAATTCTAAAGATTCCTACAATTTGGGTCAGGACGATATACAAATCCATGTAATATTATATTATAATATAATATAATAATGATTCCACATTATTTTATCTGTAACTTTACAGGACCCACACATTTCTCCGGTTATTAATTAGTAACAAAAAGAGAGGGAAAAAAAAATCTCATTTTTATTGGGTAGGAAAAATACGGTATGAAAAGTAGATTACTTTCTAGGCACCACTCTTTTTCACGAGAAATATTGTAGAATACTCAGAACATGATTTAGCATATAACATATCATAAGAGAGGGACACTTAAAAAAAAAAAAATTCTTCATTTATACTATAATATGTGATGTACCGATTTATCTTTTAGGTACTTAAAAAAATATATCCTCTCTCACAAACCCCATGCATTTGGAGAATGACTTGTATAGAATGATTCCTTGTCACATAGTTTTTCAGTTAATAACACATTCTTATGTATAAGCTTTTTTTTTACATGATAACATATTAAATTGAGATGCTAAAGTTTTTTTTTTCTGGGGGAAATATGGCAACTATGTAATTACTAATTAGCAATGTTATTGATCACACTGAATGTAATAGTGTGGGAGTGAACAAGAATTCGTGAATTATGCTTCTCTTACATGCGGAGGTTGTTGAAATACAAAAAGAAATGGTTGTACAGCAGCCGCTTCAAACACACAAGCATGGTTTTGTATGGAAATGAATCATCTTCGGATCCCTTTCATCAAATTAATCAATTCAAATCTTTAAAATTTAATCCAATGACTACAAATAGAGAATCATTTTAAAAGTTATAATAATTTTAATCATTTGATTAAATTTTAATGATTTGAATTAAATAATTAGGTGGATTTGATAGAAGAGATCCGGATATTTCCGTTTTGTATAACAAGTAATAATGGAAATAATGCAAAGGATAGGATAACGTCTTTTCATACATCTGCTGCAATGTGACAGGTTCTAAATTTCTAATCGAGAAATGACAACCATTTCTTTTTACTTTTTAATTATTAAATTATGCAAATCAAACGACAACAAATATAATTAAACAAGAGATCCCCATTTCTGAAACAGCGCACTTACGAGTATCCTTTCAGTTTCAAGTCTAATGACAACTTTTTTAAAATTTCAATCATTTCTACAGACTATCAGCCAACAGTGGAAAAATCGGTTGGATATTTAATTAGCATCGTCAATTTTATTAGAGGGGCGACGTTTACCTGCACAGTTTATATCCTCAACTAATATTTAATATGATTGATTTTCAGAAATGGTTGACAGATTACTTCTGTTCCGCATCAGATCTAAACTCATTCTAGATACACAAAAGTTTGTTTTGTAAATACACAAAAGTGTGAATTTGGAACTGTGTTTATATAATCTTCTTGTTGGTAAATGAATTTATCTCTTACCTTCCAAAGAAAAAAAAAAAAAAACTCATTCTAGATTGGATGAGAGATGGAAGTTTATTTTTTGGTTGAAAATTTTTTACACTTGCATGTGTGAATAGCTCGACCGTCTCTGAGTAGAAGTAGCTATCATGCTAAAATAGTTTATTGGTTGTATTCTTCTATGTGCTTAGAAATTACAATGCTTACATGGAGGGCATATCGAGTAATTATAAGTTAATTATGTCTTTTTTTGTGAATACAGGCATTTCAACTCGCAAACAATTTCGGTCGAGTGAGTAGAATAGATATGGTGGTGTCTGGTGAATAAACTGCTGACTTCTATACTTGAGGGACTACGACCAAGGAAAGAACATGTCTTGCCTTGGGTTCTAGAACCTAAAGATAAGGTAACCTAGATCACGGCGAAATTCAATAACTGGCTTAGCTTTCACTGTGCCGAACAAGGTTAACTTGGTAACATCTCACTTTGCCGAGAAAGCTATGAGATGACCTCTTTAGGAGAATTGGAAACTCTTCATCTGCCAAGTCTTGAATAGGTACCCAATTAACCAGAAGCAGTGATGTTCACTTGTCTGAATTGAATATGCTCCTAGATCACTTGCTTGTACGACTTCAGTGATATTTACTTATCTGAACTGAAGGTGTTTTCTCAGAAGTGTGAGAAGTGTTTCGCTTAGAGCGTTTGAATTGTTTATTGTGTTGAAGGGGGGTTTTCTCATATTGCGCGATGTCTTATATTTATAAGATTGAATTGCTCAGTCATGCAGCTCTCCCTGATAACACCAATCATTTCCAGGCTGACTAATTTCAGATAAAAAATCATGTGGTCGTTATCATGCTTCTTAATCAGAAGACTTTCTTTTCCAACTTGTTTGTCCATATGCATCCATACAATCATAAAGCAAATTAGAATACAATTGCAATCCTACAACTGAATCATTATCCCGCGTTTTTCCATCCTTATTTGTTTACCAATTCAATTCTTGCTTGCTGACCAACCAATTCAATCCTTTATCCAAACTTTACTCACCAAACCATTAGCAATAGCATGCATGATCTTAACTAAGCTCCTAATTAGGTGGCCTCGACCTCACATTATGTTCCAACCAACACCTTACAAATCTCAACCTATCCCGACTCAATTTGGATTATACCAATATCCTAAATCAAATGTGTTTGCCCTCAAACACCTTGTCCAGGTAATTATCAATAAAATATTAGGATAATGAGCACTCGTGCTTAACCACATGATTACTATACAAAGGAGAAACAAAACATTAGCCATATGTACTGCATCGTGATCGTAATAATTACTTAAATAATGTCGTTTTGATAGGGTGGTGTAAAATGTAAAGGGTTATTATACAAAATGGTACATAAGATTTGCATGATCAATAGAAATGGTCCCTGAGATTGAAAATCAATAGAAATGATCCTTGAGATTGTCCTCTATCCATGATTTTGGTCATTCCGTTAAAAACTCTTTGAATAATTTTCAAAACTTCGTAACTCAATCGACTCTTAACCAAATTCGTCCCATAATATATCAAAATGAAGATAAGAAAGTGTAGAATAAGATTATACCTATTTGGAAGTCCAATGATTGCCTGAGATGGCCGGAAAATAGCCTGAAAGGTGGCTGGTCCTCAGGAAAATTGGAAAACTCGCCGGAAACTGGATAAACTTCAAACGTTCATAACTTCTTCAATACTCAACGAAATCGAGTGATTCAAAAATGAAAATCATACTTCTTGACGAGACGAAGAGAATGGTATCTTCCTTTACTGCTAACTCACCGTGGTTTGGCGGAAAAACTGCTTGAAAGTGGCTAACTCGAAAATGGTTAGCCACTTTGAAAAGGTATCATTCTCTTCGTCTCATCAAATTTTCATTTCTGAATCACTCGATTTGGTTAAGTATTGAAGAAGTTATGAACGTTTAAAGTTTACCCAGTTTCCGACGAGTTTTCCAGTTTTCCTGCGGACCAGTCACCTTTCAAGCTATTTTCCGGCCATCTCTGGCAACCATTGGGCTTCCAAATAGGTATAATCATATTCTTCACTTTCCTATCTTCATTTTGATATATTATGGGTCGAATTTGGTTAAGAAACGATTGAGTTACAAAGTTTTGAAAATTGCCCAAAATCGTTTTTAACGGAAAGACCAAAATCATTGATGATAGACAATCTCAGAAACCATTTCTATTGATTTTCAATCTCAGAAACCATTTCTATTGATCATGCAAATCTCAGGAACATTTTGTATAATAACCCAAATGTTGCATCTTGTATAATAACCCAAATGTAAATGACAACAAGTGGGGCAGACTGGGCAGTAACATCAACGTAGAAATATGACTCTTTTCACTAGCCGCCGCGACCACCACCACGGCTTGTCAAATTACCATCATCGCCATGGGAATTATTCAGAGTCTCGTGGGCTCACCATCATAAGGGCTTCACTAGAATTGAGTTGAGTTCTTTTCGGGAGTATTAAAAACTATCTCCTCGTAAAGACATGTTGGTTGCTATGACATGCTGGAGATACTTTGTGACGCACGAAAATTTGTCACATAAAAATAGAGTATGTGAGGATTTTTAAACATTCGTGTGATTCGTGGCCAAATAATTCTTCAACATCTTCGTGGCGAGCCAGTCATCACGCTTTTAAGCATTATATATCATGACTAAAGTAGGCGTCACATATTGACATTTTATTTTTTTAGGTCATGACCAACTCGTCTCTTAAATTTTTTTAAACAATTTATGATATTAAAAGCGGGAAATAAATATAAGCAATTTACTAAAACTCTAAATGTAACGAAACTTCACTCGTTGTCACATATAATATCTCAGGGTGACAAATCAAATCGTCACATTAGGCAGACTATGTACAAACATAACAAACGGATATGCCCATTTACTCTTACCTGAAATAGACTCTTCCATCACCTCAACACCAGCCATTCACCGATTCTGATTCTCCCTCTTCCGTGACTAAGTTAGTCAGAACCCATCTCTCTCCGTATCTCACCCTGTAATTATCTCTAACCTCTCTCTCCCGATCCGCCTTCTAACGCTTTCTGCCGTAACACCACTAGAAAGGGTGACAAATTAGACTTGCGGAGATTGGCTTTGCCAACAACATAGATTTGGGGGGTGTTGTTGAAGACAATCTCAGACATCCTTTTTGGTGTCGTACCCAATAGTAAGAGTAAGAAGGGACTTAGAGATGACACTCGTGATATAAATAATAACCAATTGATCTTGTTGAATTCAAAGATAGTAGTCATGATTGGGAATTTGAGGAATAGTTTCGTTTTCTTTGGCTTGCGTTTAGGGTCGGCAATTTGAGATGGAGGGAGAAGGTGAGAGCTATCCACAAATTTTCAAAGATTTAGGCCAGTAAGACAGGGCTTCATCTGACGAAGCCATGGGAGGTAATTGGTTTCAATGAGTTGGACAAAGTGGGTGGTGTTAGAGCTAGAGAGGGATGAAAAAACAATGAGAAGATGCAAGAAACCCTAGAGAGCTAAGGGAGAGGGGCCAACCGGAGGGTGGATGAAAATTTTGAAAAATCCTACGATTGGCTAATACCTGGTAGAATTATGACTCTTTGTATTAATCAATGAATAATAGTACAATATGGTTAAAACAATTTCTTTGTGAAAGAAATCCTACACTAATTACAATTGGTAATTACTTGATAAACAAAAAAGGTAACTAAAAAATGGATTTTGGAGTTTACGATCCTACTCTAAACAATCAAAACATAAAGTAACTTATAGGGCAAGTGCAGGTGACATAATATAATCAAGATTCAAGGACTTTAATGTAAACTAAGGCAACAAACATCTCACATCTGAATAATTAGTGTATGTATACAATTCTTATCGTACTTCTTTGATCATTTTCTAATACCTGGCAAGCTAGGTAGCCATAAACTTCTACGGTCAATTCTATCCATGGGTCAGTGCTTTCCTTGTCAACATTTAAGTGCTTATTAGAGGCCTCAACGATACGTAAGTTTATGCAGTGTGGTTCATCAATCATCTCTAGACGATCTAGCTAGCAAGCAAATGATTGATTTGTATAAAGTACTTCTCCGTTGTTACGCAATATCAATCATAAAACATACTATAAAAGACCATTTAATCATTTGTAGATATATATCAAACAAATTAACAGTATTTGTAACAAGTGAAATATTCATGATAAACTCTATTTATTCATCAAATAACATTTATAAAACAAACAGTTTTGATTATAAAATTTAACTTGGTGCTATATTAAAATCTTTTAACTTTCCTTTGCGTATTAGTTCACTTCATCTCTTTTAAAAGAGTAGAGTCGTATATCATCTTATATGTTGTTGTGGCGCATATTTATGATATTTAACAACCTTTGAAAATTAAATCGATGTATGTATGTCAATTCTTTCTCTCAATCAGCACATACTTAGATAAACTATAATAATAAATAAAATAATTGTAACCTTTAAACCACTAAGCCCTAAATTATATATCTGTGTTGATCATCCTATCTAGTAAGACTCATGTCTTGATTAGATTCGATCGCAACACACTTACTATTACTTTACTGGTGTTGATTAGTTCTACTTTATTTACCAACTCATATTTTCTTCCCTAAATTACAAAGGAAAACTAATGAAAAGGGTTTGAAAACTTTGAGTTTTAACGATAATGACAAAATAAAGGGTAAAGTGAATAGTACCAAAATTGACTTTTTAGTGTAAAAATGTGATTTTTTGTTAAAATAAAGAGTACCAGGAGCTTTTTTTTTAAGTTCTCAAATTATAATATGTTGATCATCCTATCTAGTAAGACTCATGTCTTGATTAGATTCGATCGCAATACACTTACTATTACTTTACTCGTTTTGATTAGTTCTACTTTGTTCAAGAACTCATATTTTCTTCCCTAAACCGCCTAAAGAAACTTTTTCCTTTTATGTTTTTTAATCGATGATATTGCATGCTTTTTCAAAACCTAAATTGTGTCCCTTTCCGTACTGAATCACGTAATAGAGTACTAGTAAAGCGTACGAGCACTAGTGCCATTATCACTTGTATATTATACTAAGACCCTATCCACCCACAGACGCACATCTAATCTCCATCTCATCCCCAACAAAATTATCATAAGCGGCACTTACACACACTTTGCATATATAAATCAAAACCCACCTCATCATTCATTACTGCTTTTTTAGGTCATAAAAACCCAGAGGAGAAAGGAAGCAGTAGGCAAGTATGGAGCAAAACGATGGAGTTCCAACTCCATCTCTAGATTTTCCTGTTGGCTTGGCGCTGCTTCTGTTGCTGTTATTGAGCGTCAGTGCCTTCTTCTTGTGTTGCCTACACTGGGACAAGGTTCGGTCCCTATTTCTATCCTCGGTGGAAGAAGGCAGCCCTGACGATCATATCCTACCAGACTTAGATCAGAAACCTCCTCGTCCAAACATGGTACGTACGTACATAAGTCAATCTGTGCCTCTTTTTTCTATAAAAATTAAATTCAAGTTTTGTGTTTTGATTGGTTTTATAATTTGTACCTCATTTGATAGACGGAAAAGCAAAAACAGCAGAAGAGCCTGACAGTGCTGATGCCTGGAGAACAGGTGCCCAAGTTCATAGCAATTGCTTGTCCATGTCAGCCTCCGGTAATGGAGAAGCTTTCTGTGGTTGTGCAGAAGCCTACCCTTTTTCAGTGATGATGCTACTGTATATAACTAGTTACTGAGTAGTGTTACCTCCTCAGTTCAAGTTAGTTTTGTTCTGTTTTTAGCATTTTGGAGTACCCAAAAGTTGAAAATTGGAGAAGTATATATGGTTTTGTACTCGAAACATTATACTGCGGATCAATTACATATAGTTTGAGGCTTGAGCATAACCTTAACCTCCCCTTTTGTTCTTAATTTTGGTTACTTAATTAGATTTTTTTTTTTCCTAAATACATGAAAACCAACCAAGAGGCATTTAGTGAGATATTAAAAGATTTTAATTTAATTTGTAAGGTAGCGCTCAAGGATTAATCAGTTAGAAAGTTAATGCAACATTATTACAAGATTTGAATTTAAGATCACTTATAAGTGAAAAATAATATCATTAGACCATGATAATAAACGGCTAAACCAATAATAACCAAATGATTGTTAAATGGTTTAAATCATGAGATAACACCGTGTTCGTCTACTCTGGTCACAATTAATTATACTTTCAATTTGAGAACTTCGTAATGTTTCTGAGCTCCTTTGAATTTGTAAAACTAAAAATGCATCAGTAGTTTTTCCTTCGAGAGTTCGAAGTTGGCCTAACCGGAACATAAACCATAAGCGAATCAAGTCAATCAACATAATGTAGAAAGTGTGTGGCTGTGAGTTTTCACAGAAAACTTTATCTTGTATTTGGTTTGTTTTCCTCATGTAATAGTTCTATTTTTTAATTGTTTTAAAAAGAAACCATCTAATAGTTTCGCCATAACAGTCTACCATTCCGGGTCATGTAATAATTTTTAGAGTTCCTAGAGGATCTCTGTAAGTTGTGTTTCTTCATCTTTCAAACAAAATCAAAAGGAAAGAGCCCAACCAAGTGGGTTGATAGCGTATTATTATCTCCTCCCCTACTGTTATGAAATGAACAGTTACTATCTCATCCAAATGGTCAAGGCATTTAGCCTGGAATTAGATCCTAAGGTATTAGATACTGTTCTATACGGCTACTTGCAAAGCCCAATTTGGAATGTTTTTAAGGCCCAATTTGCAATCTTGCCCAACACGTGGCACACTAATGAACAAAATCCAACTAAGGAGTTGAAGTTTAGGAGAAAGAGTAATACTGAGTATGGAGATCACATTTTCTCTACCACATCGGTGTACCATATGGTGTGATAAGTGATATATACGTTTTACATAAAGTAATGAATTTGTTTAATGAGTAATGCTACACTAGCCACATACTTGTACTTTTATTTGTACCACCTTTCTAATAGAGGTAGAGTCCACCAATACATGTGGGTCTCATATTTAATAGAGAGAGTACATATGATAGTACATATATGTAGTAAGAGTATCATTTTTTGTTAATTAATTGGATGGTAGTGTTATGCTATTTGACACATCACGTGATACATCTACGCGATACAAACATACACTTTTAACCACTTGAGATAACATGATGAACATCATCATTTGACAATTTTGGTTAGCAACCTTCTCCAAGGTGAAAAGTAAGGTAAACGTGGTCCATCTAAGAGCCTTGTTGCTGCCAAGACAAGTTTAATTTGTACTCTTATGATCATTTTTCTGGCAAAATGACAATTTTGAAGGACAAACATATCTAATGTGCTGCCAAACATTATCATATGACAAAAAAATTGATGTTAACAACGACTTTTGCTTCGTGCATGAAGTTTTTTGAAAGAATAAATAACAAAACAAAAACATGAAGGTGGTGAGATGGTGCTTTCTCAATTTCATGAAGGAGTCAATGAAAATTGTGATATATATATTCTGGCTATTGCCGGCATTTTATCTTTAGAAGTAGTCGTTAGATGAAATTGTAATCGTTGCTTAATACTTAGAAGTTATTCTCTCAAGTTTTATTTTTCTCTTTACCATTTCTGACTTAGGAATGGGAGGCTTTGGTTGACACCCTTTTTTTCAGGATGTTCATTAATTAGGCTAACCGTGTTTATTTTCTTGGAGGTGGAATTTCATCAAATTAGCCGTGTACAAAATTTACATCCACATCTGGCTGTTGGGCTTAAGACGTGAGTCAACCTACTTGAATACCATAAATGGAGTTCACTATAAAACCGATTGACAATATAGAGACTTTTAGTTATATTATTGGACGTTTGAGATCTTTAGTTTAGTTTTGAGATATAATATTTTGAAGTTGTGAGATTTTAAATTTAAGTTCTGAGGTTGTTTAATGATGATTATCTTATAAATTGATAGGTTTACAAACTTTTTGTAATACTTTGATAAGATTGTGAATTTTTCATTTAGTAGTAAATTCATGATAAACCGAAAATCAAACTAAATCAAACTGCAACATTAGTGAATCAATTGCATCAATTTAATCCCTTGTGGTTTGAAATTTTGACAAATCCAGTTGTGCTGTTTATTTTTTCTTTTTTTTGAACAAACTATATTTTCTACATTAAAAATGAAATCGTGAGCTAAATTTCGTAATAAGTTAGCAAAAAGATGAGTTGTTAGTTCGAAATTTGGATCCAAAACCGAGATACTTCAAACCGCGCCCGAATCACCCTTGTCATGGACTAGATTGTACCTTTCACGCGCCATATGGTGCGGGAGCCGAGAAGAGTGTGGCGGGTGAAGAAAGGAGGTTATGTGTCGCGTTCTGAGGCCGGCAATACAAAAATAAAAGGCGCTTTCTTTGTCCCCCAACACATCATTTCGTTTGGCCCATGTTTTTCTCTGTCCCCCTCTAATTCTCTCTCACGCCCTCTCCTCTCCTACGTAACTTAATTACTATTATTGTTATATTAAATGATTTCTAATTATGTAATTCCACTTGCTCGCCTAGTTTTTTTTTCCCAATATTCTTTGCCCATACAGGCATTTACAAAAATAAAATTACAAATTATGATGGAGGTTTCCCACATTTGCCCTTTTATAATGCAAGGTGGGACCCTGTTTGGGTAGGGCATGTGAATGCAGCCTTGGGTGTGGATCCATTGGAAGTCAAGTCATGCATGTGAGTGTGCGAGAAGGAATTACATCACATCATAACACCATTACAGTAATATAAAGACAACTTTTTTTTATTCACATGTTCTAATTTTATTGAAACGATAAGTGATTTTGTACTCGTATTATATTCTTGTTTATTGATATGAGGTATAACGTAGCGGTATAATCGTGTCATATGAGGTGGGTTTATGGTTTTAAAGTAGGAGTTTGGATGTAACATGGGGCAATAAGGAGGGGAATCTCTTGTTTAGAATAGGAGAGAATAGTAGGGAAAGCAATGAGTGGGGTAGTTAAACTTGAATTATGAAATGTTTGGCTATTGTATTTGATATGAAGGTGTTTGCTTTTGGTTTGCATTTCGTAATGACTACATATGTTTCCATGTTTAATGGCAATTAAGCCCTAATGATTTGCTTGTTAAGAACTACAAAGTGTGCACATCTATATAATTTGTTGACTAAATAATTTCATATTTTATTGGGTTTTGCATCGATAATCTTTACAAAGTGAATTATAATATCCGATCATAAGCAAGGAGTTTCGTGAATCGGCAACGAATTGAACTACTTTTGTTTAAGAACTCCTTCACAATTTTGCGGAGCCAAGTATCTGTCTTGAAATAATAGAAGCATATAATGCGTGCTCAATATGTCTATAATTTTTTATATCCATACTAATTTAGAGTAATATTAGGTAGATTTATTAGACCACATTTGCAAACCATGTCACATATGTACCAATAGAAAATAAGCAAGTTAATCAACACTTAAGTAATAATTCAATCATCAACAGAATTCACTATTTCGAATTATACAGAGAAAAAGACAAAAGAAAGTGTGAAAAAAAAAAGACAAAAGAAAGGGAAAAGTGCGTATACAAATAGCAGAAGTTTGTGATAGTATTTTACTTACTCAAGTAATGAGAGTAAACACGTTAATCAATATAAAGTAATAATTCAATCATCAACAGCTATATCATATGATTTACTTTAAATTGACAGTTTCGTAGCATTATCCAACAAAATATGAGGTGTTTTTTTTTTTTTTAATTAAGGGGGATGGCCTCTGGTATCTGGATATTGGAGGGCAGTATGATTACACAGCCATGCCACTAATTCTCAGTTAAAGTTAGAGCATGGTTTAGTGGGTAAAAGTGGTATTTATGCAGCACCCCACGCTCGATGAAAGAAAAGGAATCACTGCCCAGAAATTGTAAGACAGTATGATTCCTCCATATATATCTGTGTATGGTGTTGCTGCTGGTAGTGCTAAGTAGTTGTCAAGCTCAGCAGTGCACACACTCACGCACACATCCTCACGCTCACAGAATATATCTGCTTTGCTTTATTAGGACCGTATGATGTGATCTGATGCGTACCAAAAACTCATCCCATCTTTTATATTTGGATTCAGCCTCAGCATCCGCCATTTGCATGGACTATTGGGCATGCACTCTCTTGTTTATGCTATCCGAATTTTAGGGAAGAGAAATAGGATATTGCATTTTTATAATTTGGAAATGCGTGTAGTAGGTTGGTTCCAGAGAGTTTTTTTAGGAAAAAAATAATTGAAAAGATGCGTAGTATTCATATTTTAAGCGTCAAATAAATAAATAAATTCATGTTGGTTAGTAATGCTTTTGTAAAATAAATTTCAAGATGATGGTGGTGGTAGTAGAGTGGTTGTGGCAATAGTGGGGTATGGGGCAATGATGGTGGGAGTGGTGGTGGTGGCGGCGATAGTGTTACAAGGTGATTGTGTTAACAAAAGTTGTAAGAGATGTTTGTAGCAATGATGGTTATGGTGGCGGAGAAGGTGACAAATGTGGTGACCCTAGTGGATGGTGAAGAATGTGGTGGTGCTGGTGGCGGCGATGGTTGTGGGTGGTGAGACAATGGAGGTGTTAGTGGCCATGATGGCTAAACGATAAGATAATTATGCAAAATTTACTTAAAGACTTGTCAGCCGAAATGATCCATAAAATTAACTTAACTCTTCAATTTGGTCTTTACAATATTAATCAATAAATGTTTTTAGCACATTACAGAAAATCAGAAGAAATCCTAATGGTAGAACTACATTGATGCTTCGCATTCAAAGTCAACTAGAAGATTATCGATTTTTATTCTTAGGAGATAAATTAAGGAGTTAGGTTAATCTCATAATCATTTCAACTATAAACCTTTCTCTGAACTATGTGAAGAGAAGGATTCAAGTAAAGAGATTCAAGCATAGAGAGTAAGATACTATTTTAGTCAACTTAACTAAAATCAGATTACAGACGACATTTTGTCACATTGATAAAAAAAAAAAGTGTTACTTTTACACTACAGTGTTGGTTCGAACCATTATCTCCTAATCTACAACTAATCTAAAAAATATATCGTATGACATAAAAAATAAAAAATAAAAAATAAAAACCGAAAACCAGATTATGGTGACACTTTGTTTTATTAATGTGTGTTATTTTAATACAGGGAGAGAGACACACATCAGACTGCTTCTCTTACTTTGTGCCGTATGGAGGGTCCTTAGGTCTTTCTCTCTCTCTCTCTCTCTCTGACTCTCTGTGACTCTCAGCTTCCTGTCAGCCAAATCAAAGACCTGTTCTTCAATCCAAAATTTGTTTTGCTTTTTCTTCAGCCACTGATCCACCCAGTCGTTTCAGGTATACTCGCCGTAGTCTCCAATCACCTCCGCCGAATCGTTCCATTTTTCCGAATTTTGGTTTCTGGTAATCTTCACTTCCAGTGACTGTGAGTCACAGTGAGTTCTCTTCTTTTTTGTTTGTTTTGATTTCAGCTCTCTCTTTCTTTCTTTTCCCTGGTTTTGGGTATCTCAGACTTTGAAGGGAAGAACTGGTTTTTCATTTTTATTTCTGGGTCTCTCTCTGTCTCTTGTTTTGAAATTTTCTTTTTATTTACTTGCATTGAATTTCCCCACAAAACCCTTTATTTGTTTATGGCACACAGTCATTCAACGCTCATCAATTGAATTTTTTTTTATTTTCTAATTATATATCAAAGTTCTATAACCATTTGTCCTGAAATCTGAAAACCCACCATCAATTTACTTTATTTTATTTTATTTTATAATTCCTGGTTGTGGCTGTGATTTGGTTTCTGAATCTCTGTAGATATGATGATTGCAACTTGATCAGTAGATTACTCTTTAATTTTCTTCAGTTTTCTGACCTGCATGTAAATATTGATAAAATCTTCAGCTTCACACTATTTAATTTTTTAATGTATCCACTGATTAATTGTTATATGAGAATATGCTGAAGTTATCATTGTAAATTATTTTGCGGGCTTGCTTGTAAGTATGGTTCCTGTGCAGAAAACAAGATTATTTGTATTTTAAGGGATGCTTGATTATTTGTATCCACTGATTAATTGAATCTTTCGGCTACTTGTGGCGGATTTGTTTTCTCATCAAGGGTGGACTGCTGTTGTTAAATGCATTAGTTTTCGTTCTTCTTGGTCCTTTTTCAGGATTCTCAGAGTTCTTTTATTTCTGATTAACGTCTGTTTTATGGTCGTTTTTCTGAAGATATTTCATTCCATTTAGCAGGTTTCAAGTATAAATTGAGTGATTTTGCATTGTGAATTGTGATGTCTCCGCCACTGCTTGGTGTTGATGAGGAGGAGGGTCAGAGCGATGTTACATTGTTGGCTTCTTCGGGTTCTATGGAGAGTGTATGCCAGAACAGTTTGGAACTGAAGGAGCGAAATTACATGGGATTGTCTGATTGCTCTTCGGTAGACAGTTCGAAGGTCTCTGCTGTCTCTGATGGAAGTAAAAGTAGTCTGCATTTGAAGGCTACAGAACTTAGACTTGGGCTTCCTGGATCCCAGTCTCCTGAGAGAAACTCAGAGGCGAGGGTAATCTCCACTCAACTTGATGAGAAGCCCTTGTTCCCGTTGCATCCTCTAAAGGATGGCCACCATTCTTCATTGCAGAAAACAGTTGTTTCGGGAAACAAGAGAGGTTTCTCCGATGCTATGGATGAGTTCTCAGAGGTAAAAACAACTGGTTTGCTTGAAGAGAGAATTGGATATGTTTATTTATTTATTTATTTATTATGTCTAGCTTGACGATCACCTGATTTGTGATGCAGGGGAAATATGCTAATTCAGAGGTAAACCTGTTACTGTCACCCAGACCTTCTCCAAACTTTGGACTGAAATCTGGTTCTGCTCTTGAGAACCTTGGGACTCAACCACCCAAAACAAAAGAGGTGGCACCAGCAAAGGTAGTACAAGAGAGGCCTCATGCTGTCAACGAAAGCAGACCGAATCATAACGAAAATAGTACTAGCGGTGCACCTGCTTCCAAGTAAGTGCGAGAAAATTGTCGTACCACTGAAATTTATTTGGCAGAAAATTTGTACTTTGGCCTTGCAAGATGATAATGGAGTCTCAGCTTCCTTATATATCAGGGCGCAGGTTGTGGGTTGGCCACCTATAAGATCATTTAGGAAGAACTCATTGGCCAGTACATCAAAAAACACTGAGGAAGTAGATGGAAAATCGGGCCCTGGTGCTCTGTTTGTCAAAGTCAGCTTGGACGGTGCACCTTATTTGAGGAAAGTAGATTTGAAAAATTACTCTGCATACCAGGACCTTTCTTCTGCTCTTGAAAAGATGTTCCGCTGTTTTACCATAGGTGAGCAGTTGCGAACATTCAATGTTTACAGATGTCTTTGCGAAATATGAGTTTAAGTAGAAAGCTTCTGCATTTTGTATGGATCCAGTTACTGCTATGTTGGTATGATTTCAGGTCAATATGGGTCTCATGGAGCTCCAGGCAGAGAGATTAGCGAAAGCAAGCTGAAAGATCTGCTTCATGGCTCAGAATATGTTCTAACTTACGAGGACAAAGATGGTGACTGGATGCTCGTGGGCGATGTTCCTTGGGAGTAAGTTCTCATTCATCTGCACATTTGTTTTTCTACTAAGTTCATTTTGTTATGTACATAATTGACTTGCCAATGATACAAAAAATCTTAAATCTCAAAAACTGCCCCTTTACAACTTAACTTTTGCATAGGCTGGCAATGGAGTTACATTTTGTATTAAGTAGCACGGATTTACATTACTTTTTTGGTAAGGGTTACGTTAGTTTGGCTATAATTTAAAGGGAGCTGTTATCTGCACTCCGCTCTAGTAAAAAATATAATGGCGGGAGGAGTGCAGGATGAGTATTTTTGAGTGCTAATAACATACTCAATATAAAATCCGAATTGATTTTGAAATTTTGCAAGTCAATGAACTAGTGAAGGTTTTTTTACTTTTTTTTTTGTTTTGTTTTTGTTTTTTTTTTTTTGAGCAAAATGGTGGACTTTCATGGATAGGTAGGTATTTTCGTCGATTGTTTATACGAGCTTCTATATGCTGCATACAGCATGCACGTAACTTCTATGCGCACATTAAACTTGTTTTATTGGAACCCTAGATTAGGACATCAGTTTGATATAACTTGGGATGGCTTGAACTTGAATAACATGTGGAAAACTTATAAACTATGACTGATGGAGGTGAAATGTGATATTGTAATGTGTAACCCATAGAACTTGATGTTAGTCGTTATTTATCGTCATTGAGGGGGACTCTTGTTAAGCAATGCAATTAAAGTATATCTGAAGCATCATAAAGACGTGAATGTAGATGTAGTTGCATTTACCTTGTCAACCATCAACTTATATAGATGTAGATGCAGTTTACTTCCTTTGTCCGCCATCTATTGAAGTGAATAAGGCAGCGTCACCAAGAATGGCATCGTTGTTATAACTATGAGTTATAAGCCAACATGTCAAGATGTTAGTTTAGATATTCATAGGCATAATTTTCCAAAAATTCAGACAGTCATAATAATTATTTTATTTCTGTAATATATGGAAACTCTTATTTGCATCGTAATGAGAGAGAAAATTAGCTTTATCAACTATTGAAAACAGGTTTTGCATTATAGCGCAAAAAGGAATACAAAGTTCTGCCATGCTATAGTTATCAAGGAACTTCTTAACCATTAATAAGATAGATTGTTTCTTATTCTAAGGAGGTGATCTGTTTTCTTTTGTAGCGCTGACCTCTCATGGTCATAACTAGGTGTGATTGTAATGTTTCAAAATGTGGGCATCATGGTGAGCTTTAATGTGTTGCCATGCATGGACGGTTTATGTTACGATGTGCCGCATCTATTTATTTACCATTTTGCTTTGATGAAGTTAAAATATGTTTAAGTGTAATGTTGATTTTGAATATGTACCAGGGCTTTTTAATATTTTATTGCCTTAAAGTCTGATTCAAAATATGGACTTTTGACAGCATGTTCATTGATACCTGCAAAAGGATGAGGATTATGAAGAGCTCTGATGCCATCGGCCTAGGTGCGCATATTATATTCTATTATATTCCATGGATTATCATTAATCAGGATCACAGAATTAAGACAGCCCTTCACTTTCCCCTACGATTGAGATTTGCACTTTACTGATTTTATTCCATCTATAATCCCAAAGAAAACATAGGTTATCCAGGGAGTTTAGTTTTGTCTGTAAATTCGGAACGTTTCCTTGTTAGGATTGCAATGGTCGAACTAATTGGGTGCTGATTATGGTGTTAGTTTTCATTAGTACATAATTGAAAACAAATAATTAGGATTGAAGTTTCAAATACTACAGGGTAACAGGAAGGAGTACATCCAGTATGCTGTTTTATTTATTCAAGTTTTATTTAGCAGATAAGCACAACAAAGTTCGCTCTCATTTCACCTGTATGTTTCGTAACTTCAGCCTTCTAAGATTTTACACTATCGATCTTAACCACATTTAGATTACAAAAACTAAGTTTCTTTTATAAGAAATTGGGCCATGCTTATTGCTTAATTATCGTTTCTTGTGATATGCTCCGTATTCAACCTTATTCTAGTATGTAGAGGGGTGCAGGGTACATCGGTGAGTTTGAATATAGCATATGCATATTCCACAGTATCCTTGTCGTCTTTGTATTTATTTTTGTTCATTTTATGTACAGCACCAAGGGCCATGGAGAAGTGCAGGAACAGGAACTAGCCGGTAATATACATTGTGATGTCTTCCATCCAACAGTCTGGAATGAAGGCAATGCCTAAAACCACGGCAACCAGATAAATCGGAGTGCAAGGATTTGTAGATCTTTGGGCTGGACGGGACATCACAGGTGGCTGGTCTTACTATCTTAATACTACATCTGTGTTTTTTGTTTACCGTGGATTCATGTTTCCGAGCGTTCTGTTTCTAACTTATTTACGTTATCAAAGCTACCGAAACTCAATCTCTGCAGTTGTATGTGCACAGGTTCCTGTTCCCATACAGGATCCTTAAGTTTGTAAAGTGCCAATTGTTTGTGAACCTTTTGTGATGAATGCGTGTGAGCTAAAACTTCCAAGTTTCTGTCATTCTGCCTCCATGTATTCTATCCCCTCCTATCCCAGGGCATTTATCTGTTTGGCCCCACTCGAATTCTGAGACCGGACGAAGACCGGTGTTCCGCGGCTTTATTATTAAGAACTTTGTATGGTTTATGGTTTGTGCTTGAATTATTCAGATATTGCCCGTATTAGTAGGTAGTGTTTACCGGAAAGGTTAGGGGGGTCATGTTCATGTTGCGGTGTTTGGATTTATTTGTGTAGTTTATGGTTGAGAAATTGCAAATGGGGCCAAACGGCCCAAACCCGAACAACTAACCATGAATGCTCCTGGGCAACTTATATCTGGTATTATTTTGTGGTGGTTGGAATTCTATTTTATTTTTTGGTACAACTGATATTGGGGGCATGCGGAATCGAACTCAGGACTTTGGAAAGCCTTGGTTGAAGGACTGGTTTGGATAAGATAAGTCCAATTAATTTGAGTATAAATCCTGTCTATGGTGGCGTTAAATGTATCATGGATCGTAGGGACGGGCATGGTCCGGTTTGATTTGGTTACTCCTCAAGTCATGTATCGAATTGTATAGTATTTTTGGTTTGGTTTGGTTCTTAAAATATAAAAAAATTAAAAATCAAGAAAAACACTGAACTAAACCGGACCGACTCAGTTGCGGTTCAGTTTGGTCGGTTTTTGGTCATGGGTTTGACGTGAGGTGAGCGGAGACGAGGGAGGTGATGAGGGTCGGATCGGAGTCTCAGGCTGCGTTCGAAGTCAACAACCGAACCTTAGACATGGGTTCGAAATCAATCCAATCTAATACCCAAAGCCTAATCCAATTCAATCCAAGCTAGTCCACCAAACACACTGTGGAGTGTGGGTGCAAGAGTGAATGCTCTGAAGTCTAAACTAAAGTGAACTAAGTCATGGTTTTGACTTCAAAAAGAGAACTCTAAGTTGTTCCTTTCCTCATGCACAAATATGCAATCATCTTGTAATAATATTGAACGTTTCGATATAATCTTGGCTTCTTAAAATTCGTTTCAGCTGAGTGGAGTGCATATCTTTGTTTCTCTTTATCTTCTACACCAGTAGCTCATGCATTAATCAGTTTAATTAATTGGTGCAACCACCAGAAGCCCACAAATATTCGTCTACGTCGCCATTGGGTTATATACGATTCAATTGATATAATTATATTATAATTTGAAGTCGTGGATTGTTTTAATAGATTATGTTGTCATACACATGATTGAACTAGGGGCGGAGCTGTGAAGGGACTGGAATGGTCTCAGGCTTATCCTGACATTTTTCTACATAGAAAAAACCTCGATTATCCATATGATTTCTAAAGATTTTTCAAGGTATTAGGGCCTATCTAGATTTCCTTCATTGGGTTCAATTTGAGGCTGGTGGCTATTATTTAGCTAACCAACGTCCCTATGAGTTTTGAGACTCAGGTGATCAGAATAGGGAGAGAGAGGGGAAGTAGGCAAGAAAACTGGTTTTTAATTTGTTTTATTTTTTTTATTTTATTCCTTGAAGTCTTTTAATATAATTACTTTTGCTATTTCTATTTTTTTTTTTTCCCTTTTCCTCTCCTCCTTTCTTCCTTTGTTTAAAGGGTCTTTCATTTGAATCTGAGTCGAGGTACTTGGCATGGAGGTTGATTGAGGAAGAGAATGACAAGAACGACGTCATACCAAATCCAAATGATGATGATCGGTAGCTTAGGACACATCTAATCTTTATTTTTCTTAAATAAGAAAAGCGTTTTAGAGTGAGACTTTGGACTACTTCTGAGCCAAAATTCTAATTCCGTCACTAAATTGAACTGTTAATTAATTGCAGTAATTTTTATATATATAAACACAGGATTTTGAATGGAATACTCAAATAAATACACATTAAAATAAATAAATAAATAAACCTCAATTGTTCTGGTGATAGATATCATATTCATTCATGTTTATCAACTTCTGACGGCCTATCCAATTGATCTAGCCTTATTCTGTCATATTATTACCTGCCTCCAAATCCATATATGCCCATTCCTCCAATTACTAATGCCAAAAAGGAAAACACCCTTTTGAATCTTTGATGCAGGTCCTTTGCCCTCAATTATTTCCATCACAGGCACAACTGATCATGTGCTCGTAATCGTTCATATACTTTATTTTATTTTATTTGACTTTTATTATTTGTTTGGAAGATTTCCTTCACTTTTCCACAAAAGGAATATTTGCTCCTTATGCTAAAGTGATGGAGATACTTAACATCTTTTTATCATAGTTAGATGAGTTAGCATCTACAATTAAATAGCGAATAGAGACAAATCTTAAAATTTAAATTCATCTAAATGTGATAAATAAAATGATAAGCATTACCAACACTTGAGGGTAACGAGCAAATACGTATCATACCCAGATTACCTTTCTTAGTGCCATATCTTGGATTAGTTCGCATCTACAAATAACCCAAAAAAATAGTTAAACCTTTTTGAGAAGGAAACGAATATCAGTCAACAAAGCAAACCATGGAAATTTTGGTCGGTTTGACCACAATTAAACGCACAAAAAGGTTAATTAAACATTTTAATTCAACTGATCTCATCTGATAAAATTGGCCACTGATTAATTAAATAAACAAATCTGAGATGTAAACATGTGAAGTAGATTAGAGACGATTGATTATCTGCATGCAACAATATTCTTTGGTACTTTCTGTTTATATATAACAATATTACTGGGGAGTTGGAGTGGTTAGCAAATGTTCGTTGGAATTAAATTCAACAAAGTAAGATTGCATTTGAAGATTTTCCGTCTTAATTATTATCATCAATTTTTAATTCCCACCATCAACTTTCATAATTGCTGCTTTAGACTCTCATGCATGATTCTCGTCATCTGATTTTTCCTGTACTTGTTATATGAAAAAATTATATAACACTACAGTCTACAAACAGCCACTGTATAACACATTGCATGACTGTATATACTGAGTGTTCATTTGAAAAGCATTTTAGTTTTAATTTTTAAGTTTTACTTCTTGTAGTTGAGATATAAAGAGCGTTTATAAACGGAAGGGGTGAAGAAGGTTGGTGAGAGGAAAGAAAATAAATGAAGATGAAAACATCTTAAAACGAAAATTAAAAATTGAAAACCAAATAGTTATTTAACAAACCATATATGTGTGTGTGCAATTAAGGTTAGTGAAACCAAATTTGTTAAATCATATAACGTGATTGTTGATGATTGAATTATTACTTAAGTGTTGATTAATGTGTTTATTATCTATTGGTAAAACATCACATGATTTACAAATTTAATTAATCTAAAAATTAGGTCTACCTGACATTACCGTGTGTCTAAGTATGTATGGAAAGATGGCAGTGAGTGAGAACAATATTTCGTATGTAGAGAGACATGGTGGTTTTAATTTATATAGAAAATTAAAGCAGCCTACTGCATGCATGTTGCTCCTGCATCAATGCCATTATCTTCATGATAATTTATAAAACCAAATGCTCAGTTGAGTCAATTTTGTGACATGCCACCACAAGCAGCTAGACAAAATTAACAACTCAATTTTGTATTCGAGAATACTCCCGTATATTTCATTATTCTCTGCAGGCAAGTATTTTAATAATTAGAATTTTTATAAGAACGTACTTAAAGACTAACTTAACAAGGAACTCAATAATGGAAGCGAAAGAAATTCCCCACAGGCCAGATAATTAGGCTTTCACCGACCCTCGTTCTCAAGTTGGTGCATAAGAGCATTTTTACTTATGTTAGATTGACATGACTAGATCCTAATTCCCCAATCCAACCCAAAACACACCTCCACCTATTTTTGGGTCGCCAAAGCTCATCAGTCATGACTGGTGCTGTGTCAATTTTGAGTAAAAACCCAAATCCTTGGCGCTTACGTCAGGGAATCCACTTTTTTTTATTTTTTTTTTAATTTTTTATGCACCAGGGGCGTGCGCCACACTCGTCCAACTGGAAGAGTGGCAAAAAAAAATGACGCCTGGGGACCACCACAATAGTCAATTATGCTTCGAACGGTAACTTGCCAAGTGGGCATCTCAAACGTCCATTTCAAATTCTCACTTCAATTTAACGGTTCTTTTTCATTCCGTAGTACTAATTTTTTAAAGATTGACTTTGCAAAAATTAATTAAAACTAAGGTCGTTTAGTTATTGAACTGTATAAAAATAAATAATAAAATTGGTAAAACCTTACGAACCATCTATGTATTTGCTACAATAAATTAACTAAACGACCTTATTTTTAATTTATTTTTTTGCAAACATGATATTTACAAAGTGATTCATAATATGAACAGTTCTGATCGTAAGCACAAAACTCTGGATTCGAACACGAGGAGTTTTAAGTTAGAGTTCCTACCCATCCTTTAGTAACCAATCATTCTTCTTTATAAAAGTCAAGTTGAGTATGCAAGGCAACTTGAAATTGATAGGAGAGGCCGCAAAACTATGTCCAAGAGGTAGACGAAAATGCATCCCCGACTACTTAAAGCTTTTTCGAGGCACGAATGAAGAGAAGTGACAAGGAGAAGAAATCTTTTCCGTAATGACGGACCTAGCACCTCGAATCTTAGTGAAGACGAACCTAGCACCACAAAATTTGTTGAAGACAAGCACCACAAATTGGTTTGAAAAAAAAAAAAAAAAACCTTAAAAAAAGTAAAAAACATAACTCAACAAAGCATGAAAAAATAAACATAATCCAAAAAAGCATTAAAAACACGATCTCCGAACCATTTACTGCTTCACTCTAGCCCTCTAATCTATAAGAGAGAAACGTAAATCTAATGAGAAGTATGTATATCTTTGATCACATAACAGATATATACATAAATAAAAGAGATACACGCTGCGTTACAAATAACTTTTAACTCTAATTTACCAAAAGAACTTCATCAAAACGAGTTCATGCAAATCTTATTGTTGTCTCTCGTCACATGACGAGCTTCATGAACTCTTGATATTCAATTTTTTTT